TAAATATATGATTTGTCAGTGGTTACATCTCAACTCAGTTGATGTATTTGAGCACTAACACATTTACCCCAACTTTAAATCCACTCCCCACATCTTGAGCGAGTAAAGGAGGTCGGGTTTTGCTCTACTGGGCCATGTAACAAGAAATCTTTAGGGCATCAGCACATGCCAGAGGCTGAAGAGAGACAGTGGAGTAGCCAGTTGTGAGGTTTTGTGCAGTGGATCTGTCAATCAGTTGATTGTGGCACAGAGTTCAGTGTTTATACTGGAAGTATATTTGACTAAATAGGTAGCATCCAGCACCTGTCACTGTCTTCTGGTAAAACCATGCAGCCACTGTTGTCTCCGTGACATGACAGCCCTTACTGTCCAATCCCACAGTGCTTTTGTGTCTCAAGCCAGACAGCTAAACTACAGTTTCATACCTGTGACATTTCTGAGGCATATTTTACAAGTATACTTCATGGCAGGAACACCAGCAAAAACTTTATGGGCAACCTCCCATTTTGAGACCTGTAGCACAATTGGCAAAATTCCAGAGGCTAGAAAGATGTGCTCCTGCAACAATTTGACATATGTTCCAATGCAAGAGTAAATTTGACTGACATAATTTATGCAGCAAATTGCTGCGTTGGTAGGTACCTAGCTAAGAAATGCACCTTGTGAGTTAATACTATATTAGGATAGGACTTATACAAAGAAATAATTTGTGCTTTTAATGCAGTTATACCTACATGGGCGCAGCGCATGGTGCTTTTACTCATTCTGGCGGAAGTCATGAAAATTAATGTCTTAAACACAAAATCTACTTGCTTCTGCTTACCACAGTAAATGGCATGAAACAACAGTATACTGACCTGTCAAAAACACATTGTTTTCCCCATGGGAATGAGCAATATGCTTTTTGTAAGAGTCTTGTACTTACAGACAAAAACAAGTAAAATCTTATTTAGGTGCTAAAGTTATTCTTCCTAGCATAAACAATAAATAGAATATACTTGAGTCTTCACCAGTCCTTTTCCTTTTAAAAGTGTAATTTCAATCTGAAAAAATATTTTAAATGACACCTTCTTTCTCCACAGATCTTATCTTAGTATTTAGTCTTTACTAATAATTTTAATCTTTGTACTGGTATTATTTTAAATATGCAGAGTACCTCACTATAAAAACCAAAAGCTTCTTTAACAATCCTTTTAAGTTGCTACTGGATTTTACTCCTGTTAATACTACAAAGCTGAATATAGCTAAGAGAAACTAAACTCGATTCTGTTTATTCCCGTGCATTAAAATAAAGATATTATCACTGCAAACCCAGTTGTATAGATATATAGAGGGCAGAATGTGGCACTCAGAGGGATGAGCCCAGCTTACTATCAGGTTTGCCAGGCTAGCACTTATATAAGCATTGTATTTTTAAACAGAGCTTATTTGAGATGGAATTAGAGACTGTGACACTTTAAACCACAATTAAACTCCCTTTTTAGAATAGAACAGCACTAAAATGTATGGCTCATCCCCAAATCTCCTCTTAGCTCTAAACTTCTCCTACAGACTTGTCTACTTCCATTCACATAGATGTCACTCTTCCATTTGCTGTCTTCCTTCATTCTATCTCTTTGCCTTTTTCCCATCATTTTTGTACCTTCTTTTGCCTACCTAAAACCCTATGAAATGAAGTCTGTGATTTTCACCAGCATTTATTTATAAAACTTTTAAAAAATCAAACTTAATAGGGTAAGTCATGCTATTCAGTAGCACTGGTTAATTATGCCTGAGGTTAATTAATGAATGTTTCATTTAAAATATTCTTGTATTGCATAAAGAAAAATCTGTCAAAATAAACATTACTTTGTTAAAAGGAACAGAATAAAAAATATTAAATTACAAGACAAAATGCTGAAGTTCTTTGGTAAAAGATAAGAGTCTTTTCTCATACTTCCTGCATCTCAGTGAAAATTGTTCTGATGATAAATCTCTTGCCATACAACAAATAGCATTAAGATACAGAAGCTTAGTTATCCTGTTCTTCAAGATTTGTGGATCATGGTATCCAGAAATCAAATTTCAGGAGTAAAATTACATCTTATTCCCTCCCCGCCCCAAATATCAGAAACTGAGCACATACTGATTTTGAAGGAAGAGACTATCTGCTAGCATAATGTTGTAATATGTGTCTTATTTCGCCCTATATGTATTTCAGTTTTTCTTATTATTTTTTGTTTAATGTGCCAAAAAATGCTTTTTTGAAAAGACACTACATGCCTAAAACTAGTCTGGTGAAATCTTTCATGGATTTCCCCTTCACAGTTTTTTTTAATTAACTGTATTTACAACATGTCACCACTACTTAAGAGTAAAATGAGTATTTGAAAAACACATCTAGACAGAATTAATTAAAATATATCATTGTACTTAACACAGCTTGAGGAAATAACTGGGGCAGACAAACAATCTATAATAATTGAGTTGTTACAGAAAACGGAATAATTTAAAATAGCTAAAATATATTCAAATGAATAAGCATGCATAAATGTATAGAATACATGACTGTTGCAAACTGTAGCACTTTGTCAAATAAATAACTTAAAATATTTTTTCCTCTCAATACAGTTTTAAAGCAAGCAGTTTTGCTAGTGCGTGACTTTATTTGTGATTTCTCACACTGAAGCAAATGAGCAAATTAAACTAACATGAAAATTTTAACATTTAAACCAGCAACATTAATGTAATACATGTCCAAATATTTCATTAGGTGTTTAAGAAACCCAAAGGTATATAGTTAATTCTAAAGATATTTTTATGAAATTTCAGCTTAATCTGCAAATCAAAACCTCGAGAAGTAATTGCTCCTAAGTGGTATAGGAAATCACATGATTGGAATCAGGTTATATATATATATATATAAAAAGTAAATGGGAATGGTTATTACAATATTCCTTTATGTTTGAAGACTTACAGTAGGTTGAGTTGATGGCCACAGATAAGATGGTTTTTATCCCAATGTATTTCTTTGCTGATACCTGTTAACCTCATAAGCAGAGATGATCTGGATAACAGTACAGATAGTGTAGTTTGGGATTTGAGGTGAATGGACAGATTGTACACTCAGTCTGGATTTTATAATGCTTTTTTAATTTTGTGGACACTCATATTCATTATTTTGGAACAAAATGCTTCAGAAACTTGAAGCGAAGATTGATTACTGTCTGAACTATTTTATCCCCCCTAAGAAATTAACATTTTGGTACTTCCCATCAAATAGTATAACTAAATTGAAGATGTGTATTTATGTTACTTATTTTGGAATTGTTAGCTCAACCTTTTGTTCATCTACATTGCTTTTAATATTTTGTAAAAGTAAGTTGTTGTGTCAGCTATATAGCAACATGTTATCTGAAAGTGTATCTGAAGTCTGAGCGTTATCTGAAGATGTATCTAACAGTTTTATTTTATGTTAATGACAAAATGCTTGCATTATTATTTACTTGATAAGAAAAGTCTGTGGACCTGAAACAGAATTCTGACACAAGCATTCATAATGTGAGCTGGGGTTTTTATAGCAATGTTTATCGAATTTTTAAGCATGTCATACAGAACATGAGAATATGTTGGATTTTATAGCTGGCTATTGTTTTATAACAGGATTTCCTTTTTTATACTTTCAGGAAACCTGCTGTGATGTTAGGGTCAGAAAGGGAGGTGGTAGTCTAGAGACTTCAAAGGGTTTCCTGCAACTCAGATGTAGGGTTTTTGTTTGGAGTGAGTGTTAGTCTACCCTGCCAAATCTTTCCTAATTTCATAAATGGGTCACCACATGCAACCAGATTCCCACGGCATTTAGTTCATGAGCTTAGT